AGCACAACTGAAAGAGCGTAGTCATCGTCACTGAACTGTGCATGTAGAAATTTTTGAAATGGTGTATCTTTGGCTATGTGTATTTTCACCAAAAAAAAGGTTGAGAAGTTAGAGGGTTGACATGTTGTGGGGTTGTTAACCAATGTCGTTAAACAATATGTGTACTACTGTTTCACGAGAAACTATTTGTTCTGTAAGCCTTCACCTGAAGTACAATGAAAAAAAAAAAAACTTGAAAAAAAATTTATGATTAAAAGATTTTACTCTTTAAATCTACACTCTGAAAAGGATTACTTTCGACTACTACTAGTCTCTCACTTCATAAGGACGAAAGATGTCCTTTGGCTCAGAAGTTATTTGTTTGATATATTTGCTTGACACTTTGTTCCTAGCACATATTTTGTGCTAAAACATGTCTGATTACTTGGGTTCACTACACACATTCTATAGTCTCTGGAAGTCTCTGTTCCAGCTCTTCTGTTTAAAGAATTTTGTTTTCTGGTTTTGTTCACAGCACACATTTATTTTCTTCCATGAACATGTCTAAACTCTACATGCATACACACAAACACAACAGTTCCAGCTCCCCTCCTGACTCCTTCTTAGCTTTCTCTGTCCCTAAGTAATGTTTATATTCCACAGTGGTGCAAAATGCAGCATATATTAATGCCTAATTAAAGTATTACATTTATCCTTGCATGAAATACTCTTATAAATTAGCTTCAAATACACTACAGATCTACGGTGATATTTTTTCCCTCTTACCTTTTACCTGTAGTTATTTCTTAGTGTATTCTTCATCCCTGTTCACCTCTCAACATACTTACATCCCTCCACATTTTCATCAATTCCTGTGCTTTCATTTTAAAATTAGTATCTCTAGGCTTGAAATTTTTCTTTATCAGTAAATTGTGTAATGTTTGCCCTGGAGATCTCGATTTACTTGCATGTAAACTCACTTCGTTGTGTAAATTAATGTGTTCTTTTTTTTCTTCTTCTTTTTTTTCATATTGTTTTGTGACATTAGTTGCAATCTCCACAATGTGACAACACACCCCTCCCCCCTTTCTATCCCAGGTTCCCTGTGTCCATTCAATCAGTTCCTGTCCTTTCCTGCCTTCTCATCCTGCCTGCAGACAGAAGCTGCCCATTTGGTCTCATGTATTTGATTGAACTAAAAAACCACATTCCTCATGTGTATTATTTTTTGTTTTACAGTCCTGTCTAATCTTTGTCTGAAGAGTGGGCTTCAGGAATGTTTTCCATTCTGTGTTAACTGTGTTGTTTTGTGGATGTGGGGCAGGGTCGATTCTGATTACCTAAGCTGTGAATACAGTTATGGCCTCATGGCATAAGGAAGAACTGATCTGGCTCACAATTTTCGTGACACGTAGAACACACTCAGGGAATTTATGGATACTTTGAATAACTATATTATATCAAATTGATAAGTAGATGAAATGTTGCTGCTTATCCTCTCCTAGCTTCCTCCATCTCTCCTTCTAAGATAAGATATCAGGCAACATGTATAAAAAAATACGAAAACAAGAAACACAACTTGTTGCTGTTGAATCAATTCTGACTCATAGTGACCCTATAGTTATGAGTAGAACTGCCTCATAGGGTTTCTAAGCACTGGCTAGTGGATTCAAACTGCTGACCTTTCGGTTAGCAGCCGAACACTCAACCACTGTGCCACCAGGGCTCCGTCACTAAGTAATCTTAATCAGCCCTATCAACACTGGACATTATTTAATGCTCTAGAAACATCTTTTTCCCCCAAGATACTACCTGGTATGGTGAAACAAGATTTAAAAGATGACTGACAATGAAATGTCAACAACTGTTTTTTTTTTATTTTACTTTCAAAATATATATTTGAAATCTGTACAGAGAATGCTAACGAGGTGATGATGCAACTTCAGCTAATACGTCATTCTTTTGGGGGATTATGAAGTATGCTTATATCGTAATAGGCATTTACAGATCTTTTTTGATGTGAGGTTGACATAAACATAATACACTTCTAAATTCCTTTAAATGTCAATATATTCCTATGCCTAAAATCCCCCAGAAAATGACATTTATATATCAAAAAGCTGTGTTTTAGAAAATGAAAAAATGGGCCGTTTGCCAAATACAGAAATTATCACTTACATCTCTGATTTTTAAGAAATTTATAAAATATATTTTTCCTCCAGCGCATAGCAAGACTCAGACCACACAAAAGTAATCATAGCTAAGATAACAGACTTTTTCTCACTGTTATGACTGTCAGTCATAGTTTGTGTTGGCTGTTGAAAATCTTCAAACTTCTAGGTTGAAAATAGTAGTTGGGATGATGATTTTCCTGTGAGCTTTTGCTGATTTTTGCTTATGAATCCACTCTCACATTCATGACTGATCTGGAAAGCATAGAGTTCTCTGAAGTCTCCATCTGTAGCCAATACATGGACTTCTTTGTTAAACTATTATAATTTACACAAGAAAGCAAGAAACAAACAAAAAAAGTAACAATAATATGAGGTTATGGAATGTCAGGAATCCTCTCCTGTTTCAGGAGAGCTGCTATTCTGACCTCTCAGGGCAGCAAGTGACTTTACTATATCTGGCTTCATTTGCTTTATTTGATAAAAATGCAACTAAGAGAATAAACAAAGGGCCCTTGGTGACCCACAAACAAAGTCACTAATGAATCTTCTGAGTAATGAAATTTGGAGAAAAAGAAAGCACGGTAACAAAGGCATCATTGGAGACAGTGTCCTTGGAGACAGGAAGATGCAGCATCAGACACAGGCCAGTAGGACAACTGAAGAATCACATTATAAAACACTACTTCAGCTTCATTTTACGGTCACATTGAATAATCTCAGACATATCATAGGTGAGGATCATAAAGAGACCACATTCCTTTTTCTTTTAATTATTTTTTTGTTTATTGTTGTAGTTTAAGCGAAAGTTTATATTTCAAGTTAGTCTCTCATACAAAAATTTATACATACATTGTTATGTGACCCTAATTGCTCTCCCTATGCTGTGACAGCACACTCCT